GAGTTCTCTAGGATATGAAGCAAAATTGTTAAGGGTACAAATTCCTGGCTTTAAATTCCAGTTCTTCCATTTACCAGATGAAGGTTTTGGTCAAACAATTTTACCTGCACATGCCTCTCCTTTCCTAAAGGTAAAATGAAGGATAACACTGTTGTATACTTTATCAGGCTATTGTAAGGATAAAAGAAACTAGTAAGTATGAAGTGTTCAGAGAAATCAGGGCCTGACATAGAACAGAATAAGGTTAGCTCATCATCCCTGCCATTAATACCATCACCATTACTGCTAGTGGGCATTTACAGTGGTACCACCACACAGGGAAAATAATTTGGCAATGAAATATAAGACTAAGACATCCTACTCTCGTATTTCCTGGAGAAACTAATTTCATGAGGAAACATTAGAAGAATGTTTGATAGGTGCAGCATTTGTGAAAAGAAAATAAGAAAAATAACACAAAAGGCTATACAGAGGACAATAAATAAACAGAACATGGCACATTGATTTGTTCTAATAACATTGCTATAGTTCATTTGTTTTTATGTTTTTTTGTTTTTTGGGTTTTTTTGTTTGTTTTTGTTGTTGGTACTAGGGAATTGAACTCAGGACCTCGTGCTTAGCTAAATCTCTGGCAATTGCTACAGTTTAAATATTGAGTGTCCCCCAAAAATCCATGGGCTAAAGGCTTATCCCCAGCTTGGTGCTACTGGGAGGTGACAGACTTACTGCAAGGTTCTTAGGTCACTGGGGCTGCCTTTGAACAGTGTGTGGAACCCTGTCTTTCCTCTTCCTCTTCCTTTACTTCCTAGCAGGAGGTGAACAGTTCACTCCACCACACTCTCCCTGCCATGACCGTTTTGCACTCCCACCAGCGGCCCAAAGCAAAGGGTCTGCAGGTCTGCCAAGACTATGGACTAGAACACCCACAACTGTGAGCCAAAATAAAACTTTTCTCTAGATAATTATCTCCAATATTGTGTGATAGTGACAGAAAGCTAATTCGAATATATAGCATGGAAATAAATATATTGGAACTACATGCATCAACATGGACTGGACACAGTACTAGAGGGGGGAGCGCAACTCATGGAAAAAAATAGTGATATGGAACTGACTATATAAAGTAGAAAACTGAGTAACTGTTCACAGGTTTACTGTGCATGTAAATGTCCCAAATCGTAATCCTAGTCACATCAGGGCAATGAGGACTAAGTATGTGATCAGAGAGAAACTGGGGGTATTCAATGGTACGGCATTTGTCTAGTACGCACAAGGCTCTGAATTTGATCCCTAGCCGTGCAAAATAAACAAACAAAAGGGGAACAATACATTACCAATAATGGTAATATTTGTTTCTTATATAGATGGTAACATTTTTGTACTGGTAATTATTAGCTTTTATATAGATACAATACATATTATTTTGTGTATATAAAATTTTTAATAAATTTTTGTACGCACAAAAATCCAGGAAAAAAGAATAGCAGTTATTTTTTTAAATCACTCGAAAAACACCTTAAATGATATCCATCCCATAGGTCTCAGAATTTACCACAAACAGTGCAGAGAGAAACAAACATATAATAGCACTACATTTTCCAAGCTATCTGCTTTGAAGTGTTGAGATGAAACTCTTAGAACAATGCAGTCCAGGAAGACATGAGTTTGGAACAAGCCTTTGAGATGCGATCATTCTTAGGCACAGCACGAAAGACGTCAAGACCATATAACTACCAATGGTTTCCTTCTGTCACACTTCTAAATCTCTTTGTCATCCTGACTGCTCTAAGAATAATTTCCTACCTCTATTTATCTAATACCTGTTAACTTCTCCTTTTGCCTATGATCTCAACCACATTCTTCTTCAATGCACTCTTCACAATGCATCCAAATCCCACCAGCTCCCTGTAAACTACCATCACTTCCTCACTGAACACTCTTCCACAGATACCCACTGGCCTAACAAGAGTCTCCACTACATAATTAGCAAGGCTTTATATGAGGTAGACTCCACCTGCTTCGCCAGCTTACTCCTCTTCAAGTTATTTCGTGATTGCACAGATTTAAGGCAGTGGTTCCCAATTGTGGCCCTTCAGACCAGCAGCCTAAAGCCTGTCAGAAATCAGGCCTAGCCCACGCCTTCTGAATCCAAGTAAACTCTATGTGTGGGGTTGAACAATCTTAGTTTTAGTCTTCTACTTGATTCTGCAGCACATCAAAGTTTGAGCATCACCGCTTTAATACCTGAACGAGAGTCAAATTATTATTTGAAGAAGTCTGATGGGGTAGTCAGAAAGTATTATAGGATAAGAGGTAAAACTACACATCTGGGCTGGGTGTAGCTCAATGGTAGAGTACATACCAGCATGTGCAAGGTCTGAGTTTGATCCCTAGCACTGGGGAAAACACAAACAAACAAAAAACACAAGCATACTCTGAGGTCACACTGTCAAGGCTCAAGTTTTTGCTCAGCTTCTGCCTAGCTTTGCAATCATAGGAAAGTTACTTAGCTTGTATCAGCATAGTGTAATGCTTAATAGCAGGGATCCCACAGCAAGACTGCTTTGATTTATATTCTGGCTCTGCCTCTTCTCAGCTCAGCTATGTAACCCTGAACAAGTCACTGACATTCTCTGATTCTCAGTGGCCTCATTTATAACAGTATAATAATACGTTTCATACAGTTGTGAACATTAAAGGAGTTAATACATGTATCATGCCTCAAACTGTAGCTAATGCACAGTTAAGCATTCTGTATTATTTATGACTGCTGTAACTGACATTCATTGCACAAGGACCACGTTATATTTTGGAGTCAGCACTAAATGCTAATGTCCACAGAAAGCAGAAAAATACGTTTGCTCTCATAAGGAATATCTTTCCTCACTTTTTTTAGGTAAATTTTTTCCCCCAATACATCATTTACCCATATGCAAGAGTTGATTTTCTTCCCATTAGAGACCTTGACGCAGTGACCTCTTCCTAAAAGTCAAGAAGTCTGCCTCTAAGCAGTCATTCATTTCAAGTATGTTAATGTTCTTTGTAATGTTTTTTGTATCAGACTGAAAAAGAGTTACTGAACATTATCATGAAGCAGAGAAAATACTTCTGGTGATTATTCTAAATACATATTTCAGCTAAAAAGTATCCATGTTAAAATGCCCTCAAGACAACTATATACAAAGTCACGGTTAAGGATGCTGAAAGTATCATGAGGCCCAAATTTGGACAGGAGGCCTTTTTATCCTTTCCTTCTCACACTAAGAAGTCACACCAAGTATCACAACACAAGACTGAACTTGGAATGGGGAATATTCTACTGAACACAGGTGTTAACAAAAGCACACTTATGAAGACAGTAATAAGTGATGTAAGTGGTGTGAAATTATTTAGTGATAGTTCTTTCAAGGGTCTCAAAGAGTTTTATCTCCTAATTTATAGTTATATAGTTAGAAAGTTAGAAAATGAAATAAAACAGGGAGTTAAGACTATACTACAAGGAAAAAAATACTATACAGGGACAAGTCACATATCCCAAGTCAAAATATAAGGCCAAACACTGAGAGTTCAAAGTTCTTAGAACTGTAAATAGAGATAATCTACTAATAATTGAACCTGGCATAGAAAGTATTTGGTCATCCACTACTTGCTGTGGATTCTGAATTCCCTCCCCAACAGCCTGTACTAGAGGTACATTTGAGTCAGGTACACATTAGTCTTTATTTGTGATTCTTTTAATTTGCTAAGTTTTAAAAATCAGCTTTCTGGGAAAAATCAAGATAAAGAACAAGCATGTAATGATATAGGGGATTTACAGTTTTTTTGTTTACATGTGACAACTACATTTTCCATGGAGTTTTTTTCCCTTTTGTTTTGTGCTGTTTTTGTTTTTGTATTTATTTTGTTGTTGTTGTTTTATCCTCCTCCCATGTCCCAAACTCTCAAACTCAGAGTGAGGTGAAATGAAGGAATTTTGGTAAAATCTCTTTTCACTGGTTTCTACATAAAAACAGAGGTCACCAGTTAAAAAGAATATCCAAACATCTCTGGGTTTTAAGGCCTCTCATCAATGTAAGACATTTTATACTGGGAGAAAAATAAGAGTTAAAAATTCAGATTATGTGTTTTTAAAAAGTTATGTGTTATGGAAAGTCAACCCACCTAGCTCATGTTTCTATTAATCTAATACTACATAACTTCAACTGCATAGATACGGAAGATAACAGAGCATGTGTAAGTCACATTTTTACAACTAAAAACTCACAAAAGGGCCGGGGATTTAGCTCAGTGGTTCCACCGCCTACCTTGCAAGCGTAAGGACCTGAGTTCGATCCCCAGCACCAATAAATTAAATAAATAAATAAATAAATACCCACAATGACAAAGAAAATTGCCGATCTAAAATTCCTTTAAAATAGTTGCAGAACTCAGTATTTTTTTTTCTCATTGAGTTTATTGGTACATTTTAGGTATACAATACAGTTACCTTCATCATTGGGTTCTTTTACCTTTACATGACAGGTCTTGGTTCTCATTTTTTCCCCTTGTCCCTGCCCTCCCTTCACCCCCTCCTCCCCTCCCCCCTTCCCATTTACAAGCACTTTATCTCCATTTTTTCATTTTCTCCACTTTTTTCTTTTCCCTTATTACCTTTCCCTTGCCCTTCTCAATTTCCCTACACCTTTAGCCCTTTTCTTCCTATTTCACATTGTCAATTATATCATTAAGATCTTACGTACTATTATAGTTTTTTGAACTCATTATTTGTAACAAAGTATAATACAATAACTTTCTGAGATTGCCTGGAAAAAAGAAAATACTAAGTACTCACATTAAGATGTAACTTAAGATCTTCTATAATAAAGTGTTTTCAACTATAAAAAAGAAGAAGATTAACAAAATAGTCTTTCCTCACTATGTCTGTAAGTACTAATGATACATGTATCGATAAGGATTTTTTTATCTTGAGGAAGCCTTTAAGTAAATCATCAGAACTTTACCTGCACAGTCCTCTGAGTGCCATCAACGTTGACAGACAGTAAGGGCAAAGCCAGGTTCCACGTACTGGTCACATTTAGTTTCGACCCATCAACTTCCACCTGTTGTGACACCAAATAAGACTGTTACCATGAAGAAAGACAGAAAACTGATCTCAAGTTCACTGCTGCATACAAAGCAGCAGCTACTTTAAACAGATGGCTCCCAAACAACCTGTCATGTTTACTGCTCCCGCCATGAAAGACAGGGTCCAACAACAGAGTCTCCCCAGCCATCTCTGGGGAGAGGTGAAGGACCTGTGAACAGCTGCCTCCAGATACTGAGGCTTCAAGCATTTGCTATAAGTAACAAACAGCCTTCTAACTTGGAACCTATCTGGACATGCTACATTTACTGCAATTAGACAAGTAATGCATATAAATTCCAGTGACATTTTGCAACCCACGTAACAAGCCTTGCATATAATATCCTCTCCAAGGACCAAGGAAGAACTTTTTCTGTGTTAATTTTAATGAAGGACTATGCATTGTTATCTTAATTAAACAGAAGCTTTAATTAGACAAAATTCTTCGGCACTGAATAATATCCAAAGACCATTCAAACTCTGCAAAGTTCCATCATACTTTGTCAGTCATAAATGACTAATTCCATCAAGTTACCATTCAAGATGCAAAAGAAAAAAACCCCATAGTCTTTCAAAGCAGAGATACTCTTTAAAAATTTTTAATTTCTAAATAAGTAATACAAAAGTAACTGAAAGGAAAAAAAATCAAGTTAATTTAAAATAACAAGTACTGAAAGTTCTTTTTGCATTTTCATTTCCTAATGCTTATACCCTCTTTGGTATGAGAGACAAGAAAACATTGTCTATAGAAGCCTAAAAAAAGGCATACTAACATTAGCTCAAGTTTCAAAGTAAATCTGTAGCAGAACCAAGATGTATCTCTAACAAGTTCCCCACTACTAATATTTTTAAAAGATACACTTTAAAGTTAGGCATGTTTTGCTTCCTCCATCCTTACTAAAGGTAGATGACCTAGGAGAAAGAATAGACATTTCCCAGTATGATTGATAAGTGATGAGTACAAATTAGTAATATCACCATATAACCAAAGCAAGGACACTATCATAGCTCCAAATCACAAACTGTAAGGTGAGGGACGGGAATGTGCTGAAAGCCATCACATGCCTTCTCAGGGTTCCGGCACTAAGTGGATATCTCCAGACACATAATTATGACCAACAGATGCAGTGATTCCACTGATGCTATTATGGGTAAAATCTAATTGGGAGGATAAGTCACAGCGGAAGTAGTAACTATCGCTTTGAACCAACCATAGTTCAATACCATGGAAAGGTGGGAACAGACTAAAAGAAAGAATTGCTACTGTGCCACATATACTGTTTACACCCAATCCTCCAGGCAAGGGTGACCAAAAGCGTAGCTAAAGAGTGGAGATGGCACTTCATTATTATAAACTTTGCTTAAAGAACCACCACCTTAACTCTTCAATGTCAACAACTGATGGGAAATAAGCCCTGCAGCAAAGGAAGCAAACAGCAGATCTGGTGAAATAACAATAAGGAACCCAAAGCAAAGCTGCAGCTAGCCCATGCTTAGTGCAGCCACCCCCAGTACAACACAAACGACAACCAGAAAATTACCACTACTGCATCTTCACATATAATTCTGGAGGGGAACATTGTAAAGAGAAAAAAAAGTAAATTAAGAGCATAGAACACAAGAACTTAAAGAAACACAGGAAGAGTTCAGGTAAATAATTCTCCAAAGTCTCAAAGGCAACCAATCATAGGAAATGTGACCCCTCCTTTAAAAATAAAAAAAAAAGCTCAAAGAAGAAAAACAAAGGTTCAAAGAAGAGATTAAGCAACAACAGAAGGAAATGAAAAACAACCTGGTAGAACTCAGGAAAAAATGAAGAAAAAATAACATTATAGAGATAAAAGCCTCATTAAGAAACAACTTAAAATAGAATGTGACTAAAAAGAAATACCAGAACATGGAGAAGTCACATAAAACAAAATCGAGTCAATAATACAAAAGCAAGTTACAGTAAATACAACAAACGAAAGAATGAAAGGGGAAACAAAGAATATATAAATGTTTTCACTGAAAATGTATATAAAGCAAAAAGCATAAACATAAAGATCTGATGTTTGTTTGTTTAATGTGTTGTTTCTTCTGGAATAGTCAGTCCTCGCCACTCTCTATTGCTAGCATTCTGACCCAATTTCTACCCCTTTTTAATTTTAGGTAAAGGTCAAAATAAATGATACCTTGAATTTGTAGGCGAATACTGTTTATGGAATTTTAAGAATAAAGAGACAATTATGGGCAGAAATTTTAAAAATTATGTACAAGAAAGGAAAAAACTCAAGTTATTCTAATTATCCAAGAGCAAAATGGATACAGAAGACCAGAAAGCACTATGGTACAGATACTGATAAAAGAAAATAATGTCCCCTAATTTTATACCCAGCCAAGGCTTCCTTAAAATATATCAAATAAATATATATATACTGCAGCATATAAGAACTTAGGGGGCCCCTTCTTTAAAAAATAAAGCATCTCTACAGGTATTGATATAAATGATCTCCAAGAAAAGCAGAGGTGGGCATACGGTATGCTAACATTTGTTAAGAGGAAAAAAACAACTATGATTTTAAAAATGCATCAAATACCTCTAGACAAACGTGTAAGTGGAGCAGAGTGGCTGAGAAACAGGGGTAGAAGGTAAACCTGCTTTGTACCATAAATCTACTGGCACTTCTAAAAAATTTTGTCGTCTTTATGTATACTATATATATTTTAAGGTTTCTTGAAAGTCAGAAATGTAAGTGTGTGCAAATCAAAAGAAAAATACACTGATAGCAAAGTATCAAATGACACAATACTCTGGGGCTCAAAGTCTTACACCTTTCAAGGCGAATAACATTACTGAAATGTCTTAACACTGTGAAAATACTAAAATGCTTAAAGTTATACAAAACTCTTGTATTCAAAGACAATCCAAAGACACAACACCTCTATTTAGGACTTTAACCTAAAGATGTTATGTTCTTTGTTTAAACAGACATAGAATTCAAGTGCAGGAAATTTACATTAATTATAATATTAATATTGAGCCACGCTCTTACTATGACTTCTTCTCTTTCCCAATATTGAAGCCACAGACATAACCTCTCTTATTTTCTTGTGTCATCAGTTACATCCTTTCCTTTACCCTTGCACACAACTCCTCTGCTTCCTAGTCTATCCCTGTGAATGTGTTTTCCCCACTTGCAGTCTACACTGGCTGCATGCCCTCTGCTTTCAAGTCTGGACCAAACTCCCTAGCTACCCACACATACCCCTTCTTTCCTCCAACAGTTTTAGAGCAAGTGCTCTGTACTTGCACACAAACTTTTTCCACAAATTTTTACAGTGTGGCTAATAAGTGTATTCTGATATGTCATTATCTTCCTGAGCATTGGGGGAGTCGGGGTGCTGGGGAATCCAACCTGGGGCCTGAACTACATTCCCAGCTCTTCTAAAAATACTTTTATTTTGAGACAGGGTCTCATTAAATTGCACAGACTGGGCTCAAATTTGTGATCCTTCTGCCTCAGCCTCCCAAAGTGCTATGATTACATGTGCACACCACATACTCAGCTTCTTCAGTAATCTTTATAATTTCTTTTTAATTATTTCATTCTTATCAGAAAGGGAAGTCTCTCTGAGAAGACGACCTTTACCTAAAATTAAAAAGGGGTAGAAATTGGGTCAGAATGCTAGCAATAGAGAGTGGGGAAGACTGACTATTCCAGAAGAAACAACACATTAAGCAAACAAACAAATCCAAAGCAAAACAAAATAAAAACTGTGAAGCAAGAAAAAGCTGAGCTGCTCTGAAACCAGTGTGCCTGGAAGACAGAAAACAAAGGGGATAGTGACACCTGGAGAGGGTGGACAGCAATTGGAACAAGAAAGGTGCCAGATGCAGAGTAACACCATCCACAGTATTTTTTAAAGATCAATCTGGCTACAGCTTGGAGAATGAATTTGATGAAAAAATGTAGAGGAGGAGGACATTCAGAAATACTGTCATTTGCAGAAGGAAAGTGGGAATCCTAAGTACAACAGTGAGGATGGGAGTCACTGAGGAAAATGGAGAAGAGCAAGCTTGTCAGAGAAACTGCCAAGTGCCACCTGGGCTGGATGCACGGCTGTAGCTGTGGCACACGGCTGATGTGGCTCTGCCCTGGGTATATGATGTGCTCCACAGTCCTCGGCTACTTGGAGTTGGGTGAGAGACTGAAAGGCTGAGTTCACCTAAGCTGAGGACAGAATGAAGAAATCAAGGGCACTTGTAAGAGAACGTAAGTAAAGGTGAGGGAATCTACGCTGGGAAGCAGGTAAATAGGAGTGGTATCTGTGGACAGAAAGAACATGCAGGGACTGAGAGTTGCATGAAGACAGAGAGGAAGGGAATCTGAGGTCACCAAGAGGAAGGTGAAGTGGTGAGATGGGTGAGATGGACAGGAGCTTCAAAGGATGTTACAAGAAAGGATCATCATCTAGAATGACACAGAGGAAGAAAACACTCCCACTTCCGGTTTCTGAGGAGGAGGTGCTATTAGAGAAACTACAGGAAGGTTTCAGTTAAGGCAAGAAAGTGGCAGAACATCCCACTGGTAGAAAGCTGGATACTGGAGTGTCTGCAGGGCACAAAGCAAGTATTGCAGATAGTACAATGGAAAGAGGGGAGGAAGTGGAGGGATTATAGATTATAGATAGCAGGGCAGAAGACAGTGATGCAGGGAATAATAAAGGACGGGGGAGGCTCTCAAACACTCCGATGACCTCTCTCCATCTCAGTGCTGCCAGCACAGCCCAAACCTGGACAGCATACCCATCTCTCACCCAGACTGCTACAGCACACTCACTGCTCACACAGGGCCTTCCACATGTCCATCTGTGCTCCTCATGTGAGCCAGGAGTATTTCATAAACAGGAAAGTGATCATTTACAAAACCAGAGATAAAGGGGAAGTGAAACCAATGTTAGCATGAGCAAATGGATATGCTGCTGGCTTCTGAA